AATGAAGCAGTAGTAATAATTGTTGCTGGTATAAAGCTATGTATTAGAGTGGGTATTATGAAAAATTATCACCCATTTATTGAAAACCGAAAACAACAATACATTTCTGATGCTGAACTTATTGATTTAACAATGAATCACAAGAATAACATCGAAACAGATTTGACTAAGAACATGGATTACACAGTTTTGTTGTATTTTGAGCAGAAAGTCTATGCTACATGGGTAAATTCACGTCAAGAGTTGTAAGACATAATTGAACATCACTAAAATGACCTAACAGCTGATCCTCAACTGTTAAGAAGAATAATACATTCTTAAGAAAAGAATATAGAATCGTTTTTTCTTCGAAACGTAGGATATTTTGAACACTTACTCTAACTGTTTCCTGTTTCAATATTTCATGTTTCAAGTCAAAAATAAAAATCTATATTTTTCGAAAACTGACAAAGATAACCCCAATAAAGTATATATGTTTGAAATCAGAAGAAAGAGCTGTTCCGGTTAGAAAAATGGAATACCGGGTGGCCCAAATGAAAAAATAAAGTGGCGAGCTATTCGCACCCTACGTGCAAAGATGTTCCATTCGGCAACTTGCTATACAGGGTATGTCACGACGAGCTTACACTATCTTTATATCTAGAATCAGTCGAGAGAAATCCATGAAAATGTGCATGCTTAAGTTTCATTTGAAATATTTTCGTCAATGCAGTGTTGCCGCTTCTACTAGAAAGTAGTAGCAACATTGATATTTCAAATGGAACTCCCTGTATTTCATCGCATTTTTAGATTCTCCCTGAAAAGCTGATTCCATCGATGTATCACACTTGGGGTCTATCGCAAATGATCACAGTGATATAGGGTGTTTAAAATGTGAGCCGTTTTGCCCGATAATGAATAATCCTAAAGTTGAAAATTCTCGATTTTGAACGCCCTATATCTCTGTAATCATTTCCGATAGACCCCAAGTGTGATGTATCGATGAAATCAACTCTTCAGGGAATCTAAAAATGCAATAAAAACAGGGTGTTCTATTTGAAATAACAAAGTAGTTGCTACTTTTTGATAGAAGCGGCAATACTGCATTGCTGAAAATATTCAAAATGAAGAGAGCGTATTCTAAAATATCAGCATGCATATTTTCATGGATTTCTCCCAACTTATTCTCGATATAGAGATAGTGTAAGCTCGTCGTGACATACCCTGTATATATGGCTAAAAGTATCGAAGTATACATTCTTTTTAACAATTTGAATTTCGATACGATTCCATTAAATGTGTTGAAGAATGGTATACCAAATTTAGAATAGTTTCGTATACCTATTGATAAGTCTATACAAAATGGCGAGGCAAAATACCAACCGCGTGATGAATGCCTCCAAATAGGTATATATATTTATTCAATACGAATGTGAAAACTATACGTAACATCTGCCTGAACTTAACTGTGTCATGATTCAATAACATCATAGTATTGTCAATTTCAGTAGTTTATACCCATCCTGTAAATTATCTTGTTTTTGTGATTACTCCCACCATCCCACTCTGTAAATGGTTTCTGTTGAGTGGTGTATGGATAAATAAATGAATAAATAAATAAATGAATATATACAAAAACACTTACCATCTTAAAAAATTACAACTTTCAAACACTCAAATGAAGATATCACTAAGCCGAATATGACTTCCAACTTTCCACTCTTAAATACTTCGAGTTATTTTTTTTATTATCACTTGAAACGTCCGTACGCGATGAAATCTAGAACGAGACTGCTGATTGCTTTTATTCATCATTCAAATGACTAATTCGTTACGTCATTCTTTCAACCGATTAATTCCCAAACAAGTATGACTAATTCAGATATCGATAGTGGGTATACGGTGTGGAGTGATTTTAGTATTTTAAGGATATTTTCTTTCATATTCTTATATATACGAGGTGTTTTTGAAATGAGTTCATTCATTCAGGAAATCAATGAGATATAGGCTAACAAATATTCTCATGATATCAGATTTTTGCTAATTTTTCTAATTAACGAGAAATTTGATCTTGAAAATTAAATAAAAACTGGGAAGAAAAAACAAATATGCCGCATTTCAAAGAAATCCAAATGATTGAACTCCACGTGAATGTGGCTTCCACTCGGAAATTTGTACTGAGGTGACGTCAGAATTGCTAGTGTAGAACTTTGGGTGGAAAAAGAGTCTCACCCTAGATTTTATTTGATCCCTATATTTTTTTCAATGGAATGGAAATATTTGTTTTTATTTCAATTTCACCTGTCACCCTGTATATCAGGCTGAGATAGGTTAGATTTTTTAGACTAGTCTATTTGTTCACGCAGAAAGGATATTTCCCTTCTGTATATAAACACCAAAATATTAAGATTTAACCCAACATGCCTTAAAGAAATGTTGCAGATACAGGGTGTTCAAAGAAAGATTTCATTTACGTTTTTTAAGCTTTGGTCGAACATTTACTTTGAAATTCTGTTTATTGTGGGCGATGTTCCTGATTCATCGTCATTGATCATCATTGATCACTGTCTGTTTTCTACTGTCAGTTCGGCTAACCTTATAATTTAAAATTATTGAAATGTTATAAGTGAAACATAAATCTCTTCAAAAACGAATAACGCAAAAACCGTTAGAGCTAGACATTTTGAAAAACAGTACAATTTTTATATAAAATTGAACGGGCTTTCAGATTTTTCACTCATTCAATGGACAAAAACGATATGATGTAATTTACCGAAATAACAGAGTGTCACTAGCGTCCTCCATGAGCAATCACAAAACAACTTCCACATTCGTATTTCTCTTGTCAAAAAACCTGAAACTACAAAATTTCATGCTAATGCTGTTGAAAGTTACAAAGTTATTGAGAAATTTAAGGATAACATCTCCCCTTAGAACACCCTCTATCTCCTCAACTAGCGAAATTCTTATGAGGCATGTTAGGCTAAATCCTAATATTTCAGTTTTGAATTGACTCGGCCGTTACTTGATGGAAATCCATGACGAATGTAAAAACTTCACAAACGATAAGATTTCCACAAAATTTTCAAACACACGACATGTTTCGCTAACACAGTAGCTTCGTCAGGTGATATACTGGTACAATGAACTAAACTAACCTTGGCTTGCTTAACTCATATACAGGGTGTAAATTTGAAAACTTCCAATGCGAATATCTCGCGAAAGAAAAAAGTTAGAAAAACGCCGTTTGGCAAAAATGCTTGAGAGTTAAGGGGAACTAGAACCACCATATTTCGGTCAAGGGATGAGTCACCCCAGCACGACACACCCCAACTTTGAAATGTCAAATGGCACTACCTTTTTGTGATGCCTCAAATGAACAGTCTCAGTCAGTAGTATTCACCTGTACAAGACTTTTTTTCCACCCACTACAGGGTGTACGAAAAATATAAAGTCGAATAAAATGAAATGAATTGTGTTAAAAGGATATTTTATTTGATCAGATGTTCAATATGCATTCCTTTCTGTTGTGAGCAATAGTATAATCGATGTTCAAATGCCATTCTAACATTTTGGAACACATCTCTTGGAATATATCGGCATTCTGCATTTTATTTTATTCGACTTTATGTTTTCCGTTCACCCTGTAGTGGGTGGAAATTAAGTCTTGTACAGGTGAATACTACTGACTGAGACCGTTCATTTGAGGTATCACAAAAGAGGTAGTGCCATTTGACAATTCAAAGTTGGGGCGTGTTGCGCTGACAGGGTGACTCATCCCTTCACTGAAATATGGTGGTTCTAGTTCCCCTTAACTCTTTAGCATTTTTGTCAAGCGGCGTTTTTCTAACTTTTTTATTTCGCGAGATATTCGCATTGAAAGTTTTCAAATTTACACCCGCCTGTATACCCTACTTTCCCAACCTGAAGGATTAGTTACCTGTGGACAGGGGTGATAAACCTTTATTTTCGGAAATTAGGCACAATATCTACATTAAAATACGGTATACCGGATTAACTTGAAAGAGTTGATAGCAAATACATATTATTGCTTACTAAGAAAACAAATTCAATAGTGGTGAACTATTGAGGTCTAATTGATCATTGAGTAAAATGTCAAAGTTTTTGAGTTTGTTGATTTCTAATGATTCAAAATGATTGAGTTTCAGTCCTTTATTTTCAACGTGTAGAATTTCGAAATTATTATCAAAACTATGATTTTCTTCTCATATATGGTTGGCGTATGTTGAATTTGTTTTCTTTTTCATAAAATTCATCTTATGTTCATGAATGCGCTGATTAAACATACGACCTGTCTGACCGATATATACCTTAGGACAAGATCTACAGTTGACTTTGTATACCCCTGATTTTTCGAATTTAGAAGTTTTGTCCTTATTATTCTTGATGAACCGTCCCAACGTGTTATTTGTTTTATATGCCACTTTTAATTCCTGTTTATGTTCTATAATTTTAATTATTATTCTTGATGGTAGGATAAGGATAGACCTCAATAGTTCACCACTGTTGAATTTGTTTTCTTAGTAAGTAATAATATGTATTTGCTATCAACTCTTTCAAGTTAATCCGGTATACCGTATTTTAATGTAGATATTGTGCCTAATTTCCGAAAATTAAGGTTTATCGTACCTGTCCACTGGTTGGGAAAGTAGGATATATAAAAGTTAAGCAAGCCAACGTTAGTTTAGTTCATTGTACCAGTATATCACCTGACGAAGCTACTGTGTTAGCGAAACATGTCGTGTGTTTGAGAATTTCGTGGAAATCTTATCGTTTGTGAAGTTTTTACATTTAATATTTCAGTGTTTACTATCTGTAGTTCATAGGTTCATAGATTTCCCATTCTTAATGAATCACCCTGTATATTCGATTATTTACCAAACCGGCACGGCAACGAAACGAAACTGAGCGAGAGGTCGTTATGTGTCCGCGATAAACCAGGTGGATATTTCTTGAATAGATCGACTCATCACTCAAATACCATTCAATCTTCGTTGTAGGTGAAAGAAACGGATACAATATACCCGAAATGGTGGCGTGCCCTGACATTTCCAGATGGTTGTCCGACGACAGGATTTGCAGGCGGCTGCACGAAGAATTCCCGGTGGATCGGCATCTACCAGAGCATGCTCGCAGGTTACTATGCGACCCTTACATATGTATGTACCAGAGTCCCGATGTGATGATGTACAGATAAAAACATTATTAGTAGTAGTGTCGATCTTTACACGTATTGGTCCAGAAAGTATTTTTTCCACCACTAGCTATAAAACCTACCATTATTTACTCCGTTCCGAGGCGTTAAGTGTTTCTTTACTACCAAGGTAGTTTTCGTCATGTTATGAACCACTCGTCAATAAAGACATGGCCATCTCTGTTATAATAAACCCGATTTCACAATGTTCTGATGTGAGATTCATAGAAATGGCACTCGAATCTAAACTACCCAACACTAATTTCGTCGCATCCCAAAATGTTGCCTCTGTTGAAATATGAATAACTTTTTTCTGCTTTGAACGATTTGAATTCGGATCACACTGGTCGTTAGCCCAGTCCTTCAGCTATAACCTCTTGATTCTTCAAAACATAAGGTTCTTCACATAAAATCGCTACAGGGTGTTACCTGAAACTGTGCAAAATTTCAGAAATTTCAAAAGTTTCCCAAATGAATAGGAACCAACTTTTTTTTTCAACTTTGACAGTAGAGGCATGTAGATGATGTCATTATCCTGGGGCAGCTCTCGAATTGTCTCCTTATCTCTTTTATTTACAGAGTGATCTCGAAAAGTTAACTTTTTGGTTTTGCAGTCATAATTTTTTTCCTCGTCAACGGATTTTTGAAATATCAGGCTCCTTTTGAAGCTTAAACTTCAGATGAAGAGATATGAGCATCAGAATTGACTCAAGATGAACATTATACAGTGTGTATCACTTCTAATGGAAGCACCCCTGTATCTTTCGTGATTGAGTTAGGATTCTCAAATTTGCAAGAGCGGTACCTAGATATACTGAAAATACACACTATGACCAAGTGGAATCGTCTCCAGTGATATACACTGCTCGCCAACAGCCATGGAACCACCCACAAAAATTATATAAGGAGGCAAGAAAAGTTTAAAATCACTCCGGATTCAAAATCAGGACGTCCCTTTGGCTTCCTTCTGCAAATTTCAGAACCCTACCTCAATAATTACGTGAGATACGGGGGTGCTTCCATGAGAAATGAGACAAAATTTAATTTTCCTGAACTGAAAATTTTCCAGGAATAATATGTATAGTCAATGAATTGGACGTCCTGATTTCGAATCCGAAGTGATTTTCAACCTATCTTGGCTCCTGATAACATTTTCCGGAAATTTGGGTATCTCTGGAGATGACTTCACTTGGTCATAGTGTTCATTTTCAGTATATCTCCCGCTTCTGTTAGTTTCAGAATCTTAACTCAACAATTACAAAACATACAAGGGTGCTTCCATTAGAATAAGTGAGACACACTGTATAATGTTCATCTTGAGTCAATTCTGATCTTCATATCTCTTCATCTGAAGTTTCAGCTTCAAAATGAGATTTTAAAAATGAGTTGACAAGGAAAAAAGTTATGACTGCAAAACCCAGAAAGTTAATTTTATGAGATCACTCTGTAAATAAAAGTAATAAGGAGACAATCCAATAAATGTCCCTAGGTAATGAGATCATCTTCATACCTCTGCTGTCGAAGTTGAAAAAAATTTGTTTTTCATTTGGGATCCTTCTGAAAATTCCGAAATTTTTCAGTTTCAGGTGACACCATGTAGCGATTTTATATAAAGAACCTCGTGTTTTAAAGAGGTACGAGTATATAGCTGAAGGACTGGGCTAGCGAACAGTGTAATCCGAATTGAAATTGTTCAAAGCAGAAAAAAGTTATTCATATTTTAACAGGGACAAAATTTTGGGGTGCGACGAAATTGGGTGGCGGAAATTTGATCGAAAGACAAATGATAGAAAAACATTCGATAGAAGTCTTTTGATCAAATGTTTTATGATAGAAAAACATTTGATAGAAACATAAATGATAGAAAATACAATTGATAGGAAAAATATTTGATAGAAAATACACTTGATAGAAACAGCATTTGATAGAAATTTCAACGGGGCTACGCTCAAGTTAGGTACGTTTGTGAAGATATGATCCTTCTTCATATATTTGAGAAGAAGGAGCTAGATGGAAATCGAAGCTCATATGAATTTATTGATACCACAAACTTCTAGCTCCTTCTTCTCAAATATATGAGGAAGGATCATATCTTCACAAACGAACTGACCTAACTTGAGCGTAGCCCCGTTGAATCTTCTATCAAATGCTGTTTCTATCAAGTGTATTTTCTATCAAATATTTTTTCTATCAATTGTATTTTCTATCATTTATGTTTCTATCAAATGTATTTTCTATCATAAAACATTCGATCAAATGTATTTTCGGTGAGAAGTTCTTTCTATTTACTGTTGCGTAGTTTAGTAGGAACTAGATTTTAATAAGAAGTGAAAAGAAGAGCTTTCATAGTAACAATATGTTCATATTTCAATTTCAAAGAACTAATATGATTGAAATGTATTGCTAATGGTGAAAAAAATGTAATGATAGTACACCTTGGTAGTAAAGAATAGTATTACCACGGGACCTCATTCCCCTAGGTTGAAGCCTCGGGATATATCTTGGTCCCTGAGTAATGAGGATATGCTTTACTACCTTGGTGTATAAATAACTATTATGGTAGGGTTGAACAATAGAGAAACGATGAATGAAACGTGTCGTTGAGTTCCAACAAAATTGTTTCGGATAATTTGAATCTATGTTCAGGGCATTTTTTGTTTGCCGTCATCTTAATTTTATCAAAACACACCTTTTGCCTTGAACATGTGAATAATTCAACGAAGTAATTTTTTTGCAATAACCCTGCCATATCGGAACAACTAAGAGTAGCGCTTGGAGTATTCATAATTTATTGTAATTATCAAGTTCTTTTTCTAAATAGTCAATATTTATATAGATTCTAATAAACAATGGAGCTTATTCGGAGAATTCATTCGGGTTCAATACAATTTACTAATATTATGAAATATCAGATTTTTCTAAACATGTATATTATTATTGTCTAACGAAATCCCGATGTCACGATGAAAAAATATGGTCAAACACGTACAGCATCAGAATGATAATTTTTCCACCAGTCCAAAAAGAATATCGACGTTTTTTGTGATTTGTTTTGGACGACAAATCACTATAGGGGAATTTTCATTTCTCCACTGTGAAATTAATAGTCGAATTTTGATGCATATTTTTTGAGCGATCAGAGATATAAGTATGTGCACCTTGTACGTAAAGTCACTTTTTTTTACTAGATAGAAACTATACTATTTGTCTGGATTGTATAACATTTGTTACACATTTTGTTGAAATATTTCGCATCACCATCCTCATTGGATATTTCTTTGTACATATTTTTTCCACAGAATATTTATTTGATATATTTTATTTATATTTCATGCTTATCGATAAGATAAATCAACAACGGTCAATATATTAGTTCTTGTTGATTTATCCCTACATTCGACTCATTTTCATTTGATATTCAACACCACTTTTATATTGTCAGCTAGGTTGGTTAGGTGAACAGAATTATATTTTTGGGTCTTCTTTGACGATCCGAAATGGTGGTTCCTTTCAGAAAAGTTGGTTTTTATCGCCCCCTTGTAACTTTTTTCCAGCTGATATTGTTGATATAACATACTTCCCCATTTGTGATATTTGGATTTTTATCAAGTTCGTTTTGAAGAGAAACATGTACACATACCGTTTGTCTTGCTTAGTATAACCAGAGATTATACACACTGTATAGTCTCTGGTATAACCATCCTAGTACTTTGTAGTAGGATGGTCGATTTCTTGGCCTGATGTAATGAAAATGAACCCAAAAACGAAGAGTACTACTTCCTGAAATGAAAATGATTCTTAATCGCCCCTTTTACTAAAAAATACGGGGCTACAAGCAACAAGACATGCTGTATATGAAGAAGAATTGTTCTTGTGGATTTTATGCAAGCGGTGAATGGCGGTCAAGAATTTTTAATTCAAGCTTCCAATTTCCCTTGGATTCGAGTTGAATTCAATAAATTCGAAGAAAATCCAAGAAAACACCAATATTCATTTTATGATGACCCACTTTTATATATCTTCAAAATAGAAATAAAATTAGAAAGTTCAGTAAAAGGCAAATTGTGGGAATATTTCAGTACGCTTTTTGGTACCAGAAATTCATGAGTGTATTAATAGAATTACAATACACTTGGAAAATAATTTATAAAAATGTATCAAAGTTGAAAACTCAAGACATACATACCTGAATTTATCATTTTCTTTCTGAAGCTATAGTTATTATTACTGGATAATGAAGAAATAATAATAGAAGTATTGTAATTTTCCTGATTTCCTATTCTAATTAGTAGTTCCCAATTCCAATCATCATAGTATTTATATGTTTCCAAGATTTTTAATTTAATAATTAAAAATGAATGATGACATTTTTCGATTTAACAGCTCAAAAGTCTGATAATTTACTATGTTATGATTTATAAAAGTGGGGACAATGAAGTTAGACATTCATTCACCCGTCAAAATCTTCCATCTTCAATTCACAGTAATGGGATGTCTGTAGGACTGATTATTCTTAAGTTTAATTCATCAACTCATCACTATAAATACAGGAAAAAGCTGTGATTTGAATTAACACTTTTAGTACACACCCTAGTGCAGGATACCTTGATCAAATAGCATTTTCCTTTAGGCTTAATAGTGCACTGTAATCGCCACATTATCAGATTCAGGAATTGATGCAATAAAAGCATTAATATACAGGGTGTTACATTTGACAATCAAAACTGCAAGTGAAAAAAACCTGTATGTCAAATAGTTTCATCAAGTATTCAAGATCGCTCAATTATGTATCTTCTAAATTGAATGTGAACTGAAAATCTACTGCACCGACATTGCACTTCAAAGCCTAGTGGAAAATGTTATCATTGAAAACTTAACAACTCTACTAATAACTCTAATGAAGATAGTTCAAAGTTGAACATGTTATGTTTGTTATCTTAGTCAATGGGGGAGACCACTGATTTTTTAAAATGACATTATCGTGAACTCTATACTGAAAAACTACCAGCGACTTAATTTTGAATTTCAAAACACACAATTCCTGCGCCATTTGAAATTTTGTCAATTCATTGGTGTGACTGGTGCGACGTCTTATTCCCAACACGCCTATTGTCCTTGAACTGACCAATCACACTGCAACACTGCAGAATGACGAGGTATCAGAGAGAGATAGCTACAGTTCGGGACTGGTATGTCACGACTCCATCATCATATTTGGCTGTTTGAAATATTGAATGATATGCTGATTTCAAAACGATATAGATTCGATTCTCTTCAACTTTAACTCATAATATTGATTGTACATCAAACGTAAATCATGATTCGTCGATTGAAAGAGGTTTGCACGGATTTCTTCTCTCAGTGGTCTTCCCCATTCACTTGAACTCATATACAGTGATAAAAAACTGGAATTAGTGAATGATCTCCTGTCATACAAACTTGTTATTCGGAAAATTCTCAATTCCCTTTTCATACTCAAAATCTCACTTTTCTAAAATTGTTGTTTGGGAGATTGAGGAATTGAATAAACAAAACACATTGAAAGACCAGGAGATGTTTGTTTCTCAAATGTTATTTTTGATTAACTCTTTTCAAATTTGTAGCTTATATACACATGGTACATACATCAAAAGTATTACCCAAGCTATTTGCTTTTCCAGATTTATTGTATATAAATTAATTATTATAATATTGTTTTAACTTCCAAAAAAATATACCTTCATGAACAGGAGGAGTGACTAACATCAAGCACTGGTGATTTTTAATTATGTTTTAAAATCTATTCACTTGTAAATTTTCTAATCATCTTATTGTTTTTCAACAATTTGAAATTTGTATTGAAATGTTTATTACTGTTTAAATTTGAATCAGTATTTTAATTATTGTTAATTCTTGTACATAAATATATATATGAATATATTATATGCTGAATGTTCATCCTTAAATGAATAAAATAGATAATATATTACTTGGGCAAATTTGCAAAAATCGATACATCCTATTTTCAAATTATTGAATTCAAATATTCTCCACAAAGTGGATTTATTATTTCTGTGAATAAGCCTGTCTTATTTTTTTCCCAATAAATATAAGTAGGTAGGTACATCCAAAATTAAAAATAAGTTTTGAACATAATTTTTATTGATGATCAGATCAAACTTACACCTATACATTGAAATCAATTTGCGTTCATCTAGTGTCACCTTTATTTGAATATTCAAAACATCCGCAAACTCACCAAAAATACGAATAACACCACATACCGGATACAAGGGAAAGTCAAAAACTAAACGCTAAAAGTTAATATTTGGTAAAAATGTCCCAAAGAGGCTGTGAAAATTATAGATGAACGGTGTATCAAAAATTTACACTTTGCAAAACTTCACAGCCGTTTTGGAGATATTCTAAAGTAAAGAAGGGTAATGGTCAAGTTTCTCAAAGTGGTTGTGAAGTCCCAAAATTTTCATTAATAATTTATCTCTCAAGGAAAATATCAGTGCAGGGTGATTCACAGCCTTTTTGAAAAAGGTAAAGCCATCTGTTCAGATTTAAATTGGAGTCAGTCTTTCTGATAGGTACTGTTAAAATAAATTTAGAATTTGTATATTCTACTAGTACGCACAAATAATACTTTCAGGTTAATAAGATACAGATCTATGATCAATTTGAAATGAACCAAATAAAACTCCGAAAATTGGTAAAAAAAATATAAAATAATTGATGGTTGTGGTGTCAAAATGATATACTAAAACTCTAAGTATGAATATTATGCATCATAGTGGGCCGTAAGCTAATGAAAACCATTAAACCACCTTAGATATGTGGCCAACACCAAGAACTGGCCTCGTAACAGTTAAAACTACTTAATAAAGAAACTAAAATCTACCAGTTATAAACACTCCTATTATGCTATTGTGATGAAATCAGAATATCAACGAAAATAATATGCAGGGTGGACTGCATGAGTCCATTAAGTAATTAATCTTTCAATCACATACAATTAGATTAAAATTAATTTGTACTTTTGCTCTCACCAAAAGATTTATCAAGTTGCAATGCAAGGAACCTGCCTCGCCAAGATTTGTCAAGTCTGCAGACTACAGACTTTAGATGGACATAACTTTCAAACAGAACAATGACACATTGTATCTTATATCAGACAACAAATATTATCACAATAATAAATTAGCCATTGTAGGCCAAAGGAAAGAAAATAGATTGTTTCATTAGGATCAAAAGCGACACTTTGTTTGACAAGCGAATTTTGCATTTGCGAGGCGGAGCATCTAGCGAAGCCGAGCGAAAGCAAAATTCGCGAGTCAAACAAAGTCACTTTTGATTCGAATGAAACATGCAATCTTTTCTGCAACCGAAACAATGAACTCAAATAAATATGTGGAGTAACCACCAATGCCGTACCATATGTATGCAATGCATCAATAAATAATCCGTGTGGTTAGAAAATTCTATACCTGCATTAACAGCAGGTTTTATTCAATTTTCAAGGATGTTCGAATTGTAGCTTCAATAAAAATACAACCAGTAATATATCAATCAACGACCAAGTGCTCTTATAGCAAATACTGCGCCAGTGCCAGGTGATAGGAAAAAGACGTGGAAAATGTTAGGTTTGTGAGCATATCAACAATAATAACGATTATTCGTTTTCCTCCATACTCCATTGTGTTTGGCTCCATAATCAAATGAAGGTAAACAATATCGTTGTTTGATACAAAAAACTATTGTTTGCCGTGATTATTCTAAAACAAGTTATCCATCCCGAGAATAACGAATGAAATACATATCAAGCAAGTATGTGAATCTTGAAGGCTTCCCTGATCAAAACAAAAATACCTGACTATAATGAGGTGTATTTATATCTCCAGCATGGGTATGAAATGCCAATTCTGCCGAAATCGGAAACAAATTAGGTATGCGTCCCAACCCAAATAACCAACCCTAACAATGTTGTTCATTTTTGATGACCTCTAGTATATCCTTTTTATTTCCTAGGAGCTAATGTTCAACTTTAGCTCCTAGGAACTAAACGTGTTGCCTAGCAACATACCTATTTTCGCGTCAGTAATAGAAACGTCAATTCAAGAGCTAATTTTGGTATCAAAATGGATGACTTCTGTGTCGGTTGCAGAAAAATATATACATAGTAGCCCCTTCCTGTAAAGAATATATCAACTAATGTGACCTTTGGAAACTTAAGAAACCTTTGAGTTCATGTTCACGCCCTGAAAATGGACGTATTCGATGTTGGTGCTGAGCAGCTTTGCAACTTATCCCAACATGAACGGATAAGCGTTTAATCGTCCAAGAGTACATCATTTTAGTGAATTTTTTTACCTACATTTCAGATCTTAGTTATAATTCGAAATTCATGAAACAAATTAATGAATCTAGACAATAATTCTTGAATTCTAAAATAGTATACTTACAAGTTTTACAAGACTTTCAATTGGGAGTGAATGTCTTATGAAACGAGTTCAATACATTGTTTTTTCTGTTTTGCATTATGAAATGAAAATAACCTTCAATATTTGGATATCAAAGATAAGTAGGAGATCTAGAATAAATAGAGTTGTCTCAATTGTCAGCAAGGAAAACATACTGTTTCGGTTCATCCTGTTATGAGACCTAGTTTTTAGAATCATAAAAGGACCTTATTCCATAATCTTTAGATAGCGCCATCTGTTGGCCGACTGGTTGATCTAAACCACTAGAGGCGACAAGATCTGTTAAAATTGAGATTTCAAGATGACTGCAGAATGATTTTACCTCAGAGTTTCACACAGCTTGAACTATGAAAAATAGCTCAAATAAATGATCATGTGGGATATGGTTAGTGTAGAGACGGAAAATAGTTTGATGGCATTTTGCTGGACAGTTCAGTGGTGCCAATGTCGAGAAAAAAATTAATATAACATAATAGAAGCAGAACAGAAGCATGATTGTAACTGACAACTGAGCTACATGAATGATTTCCTCCAAATATGCTATTTGTTATTCAAACATCCAAGATATATTTTCAAATGAAAACGTGATTAATTTTACTTTTCTTGCTACTCGGCAGTGGAGGTGAATGTAACCTAACCTTGAATAATCTGAAAAAAAAGTATTTCACTATCGATTTCACGGCAGTCAGTCTTAGTAATGGCCGTCAAACTAAGTCACTTCAAAATTTGACATGCAAAATTTGTCATTTCTCTGGAAACACTGTGACTTTGATAGCAACAACCTACTTAACTGATTTTCTTTGAAAATTGAACTGTTTCTTTCAAGGCCATATATTTATTTCATGAAATTACTCAATCACACAAAACACATTTTGTATAATGAAATAATTTCTCTCTCTCTCTCTCAAGTAGTAAAAAAAAATACGGGACCTAAATAACATATAAACGACCTATTGAAAAGTTTTCTAACAAGAAAAATGTCAACACTTGGTTCATAAATGGTGTTTTTTTTTTCATTATATTATTGTCAAAACATCAATTGAATATGAACAATCTGGAAATTAAGATCACTGGCTGTGGTACACAGTGATCTGAATTTGTAAATGAGTTCATTTTGATATTTTCAATCAAATGAATGAAAAAAATGCAGCATTAAAGAATTACCAAACATCTACAATCTTACCATTTCAAAAATATATCTTGTTAAAAAACTTCCCAGTAATGTTTTTAAACTTGTCCTTGTTCATCAACTCAATTCATGTTTCAGCTCTGAAGAAGGTAATAACATTCACCAAAAACCAAAACGTTGCCTATATATGGTAGGTTCTAAATATCAGAAGCTAAACCAAAACTACTCATTAAGAACTCCCTCTACTAAACTTAGCAATATTGAATAATCAAAAAAACGTATGATTTTCCTTCATGTATTAGGTTGTAATCTCACGTTTTTGACATATCTCGAAAGGTTGGTATAACTTAGTATGATTCGTCTTCATCCATGATGAAGTCACTGCCGAATCCTGAATCGAAATTGTATTGTGGGCTGTAAAAAAAAAGGATATGACGTCAGTCACTGGTCAAATATTTGTTGGAAACATGCCAAGATGACAATGCCAATATGAGTAATCTCACAAAAAATATACTAGCTGTTTGCTAGTTGTGTACTGGGTGTTCCATTTGATTTCTTTTGAATAAATTATAAATTAACGATTGTTTCCCCTACAAGATGATGACTGACAAGTTCACAATAATACAAATGCTTGGAGCTTTTTTCTAGTTGTGTACTGGGTGTTCCATTTGATTTCTTTTAAATAAATTATAAATTAACGATTGTTTCCCCTACAAGATGATGACTGACAAGTTCACAATAATACAAATGCTTGGAGCTTTTTTCAAAATGTTATTTTTTCTCCTTTATGTCAAGATTATGAGCAAAATTTTAATTTCTATTATACATCCCCTTATGATTATTTGAATTAATTCACCTCATTGTGCTGATGGATGCATTTTCTTTATATTCTAACCATAGATATAAAATATGTCTCAAGGTCAAGGATATTAAAACTGTTGAATATTAACTCTATGCAATTGGAGATAAGATTCATAAAACAAGCAGAATATAAATATAGTATGAGCAAAACAAAAGGTATTTTATCCATATGAAAACAACTTTATAAGGAAGACATTTGAATGGCATAATGTATTTGCTAAAGTACAAAAATTGCGGAAAACTTCCCCAAAGCTTTTACTAGGTATACAAAAAGTCAAATCATATCTTGAGATAACAGCTAAGAAACAAGATCAATGAGGATGTCTCAATATTTTGAAAGAATTTTCAATAACAGTAAATTCATTTCATTTTGTTTTTTTGTTGAAATTTCGATTCGAAAAATTCGTGAAAATTTATTCCAGAAAAAATTGTGAGACCAAAATATTTTGAGAATTACGAGGATAAAGGAGGGTGAAACATTTAGGTGGGACACCCTGTACATTGATTCAAACTTCCCGCCCTTGGCTTATAAGAGGAAAACTGCAAATGCAAATTTGGCAGAGAAGATTTGAATAGCTGGGTGTAAGGTATATTTTTCAGTATTTAAACATTTTTCAATCCACAAAGTTACCATTTTTCACCAACTGTGACCACAAAATTGTTTATTTGGTTAAAAGCTATAGGACTCTGGAGTTGGCATGTTCAAATAAATCTCAACTGCTGTAATCAAAATAGGCCGGGTGAAAATGTATCCCAATTACGGCAGGATCAGTTGATATTTTTTTGAAAATGTCAATTTTAGAGTCCAATAGCTATCAACCAAATGGAGATAGGAACAACATGTTTGGATTCAAGTTGTTTAAAATAATATGTTCTTTCAGAATATGAAAAAAAAGGCAACTTTGTGGGAAACATAATTTTTCTGACGCCATTTCCGCCATTTTGAAAAAGGTTGAAAAATGTTTGAATACGAAAAAAATATACCTTACACTGCTGCATTTGCACTTTTCCTTTTCCTGTTATGAACCAAGGGCGGTAACTTTTCAAAAAAAAAACAAGTAGCCAAAAATCACAATAATTTCAGACATGCATAATTATTAATCTTTGTTGGCATCTCCATTTTGAGTATTTTAACAAAAATTTTAACAGGGTGTTTATTAAATATGTGCCCAAGTAGTTGTCAAGATATAAAGTGTCAAACTTTTTGTTAAAAATATCGGTTTTCCGCAAATTTGATTATTATATCTCAATAAATCCTTTACTACTGAAAGTAACACTGCCAAATTTCCACAAAATTGAGTGAAGAATTTTTACTCAATTCATGAAAAAAAGGTTTGACACCCTGTATCATGAAAGCTAGTTTATTGACCTCTTTATCTTGGAATCACCTTTAAAATCCGGAGTAGGGATGCACCGGAATTCCGGCGGTACCACTAAATCCGGCCGATCCGGCCAGTTGGCCAGACCTACCGTTTCGGCCGGATCGCTCCGACCTGATCGCTTTCCGGCCGGAATTTTCGGAACTTTTTGGAAATGTTTAAGTTTTAAATCTTTAATATAATTCAAATTCATTTTTAATTGGTGCCTACTTACCTATTGTTAAGTAGATAATTAATCACAAATATTTTTTTTAACAAAATATATTATCTTTCCAAAAATTACAATAATTTATTGTTTTAAGATCATGGTGAATAAATAAGAGCTTTTCGGCATTTTCAGAGGTTAGCCTACACCTATTATCAACAAATATATTACCAATTTCTGAAAATAGTTGCACTGAATAGAGTCTATTCAGTCTATTCAATAGACACTATATAGTTGCTGGGTTCCCTGGCTTCTTTTTAATTTTTTTCATTATTGGCAGGTGGCTGCTATTCTCCAATTGAATGAGTTGAATTGTTTTAATTTTGTTAATGCTGATTAAAAATTAATATTTAAATAAACAGTAATTTCTATCTAGGTAAAACTAATGGTAATTAACACTCTGCATACTGTAGCTAGTTCAAAGTTAAAATAAATCAGCCTCAATATTTTCAATGTTTTACATATAAAAATAGGCATGCCATACATTTTAAATTTAGGTCCCGATCCGGCCGGAATTCCGGCGATACGGTCCTGCCAGAGGCTGGCTGGGAATCCGGTTCCGGCCGGATCGGCAAAATACCCGATCCGGTGCATCCCTAATTCGGAGACTTAGTTATTCAACACCCTGTATAACTGAAATTATCCAAGGTGTTTTTGAAATAAGTGCACATATTCAGCACATTAATATGATACAGACTAAGGAATATTCCCATGTTATCAGATTTTTTGTAATTCTTCTAACTAACGAGAAATTTCATCCAAAAAATTGAACAGAATATGAGAAAAACAAAGAAAGTACACCACTTTAAAACAATTTAAATGATTGAACTACGTGTGACTATGCCTCGAAATTTGAACAGAGGTGACATCAGATTTGCTACAGTGTAGAACTTTGGGTGGAAAAAGGGGTCTAACCTGAAATTTTATTCTGATCCCTAAATTCGTTTTATTAATACCATTTCATAGTACACGTCGAGCTTTCTCAGTGTTTGAAATATTTGCACTTATTTCAATGCCACCCTGTATATGTATTTTCTTGGTAGAAGGTGAATGATCTGAAAGAAAAAAGCGAACTCACTTGATAGCCCTGCAAGTGAAAAAGACGATCCTCTTCAGCTTCTTGCTGTAGAAAAAGTAATTGAAACTCCACAAGCAGCCGTCCTCGCCGAAGGGATCGGAAGCCAGATCGGGATTATAGGAGTAGATATCGCAATTTTCAAGGGATATTTCATCGTCGATGGCGGCCCAGATGGAAGGGCCGAGAACGCGGTACTGTTCACCTGCTGTCGCTGCTAAATTGGTGTCTATAGCATTGGCCACCCATTGGCGGGATGGCTCTTTGCTGAATTCGTGGCTCTGTGCAAGAATAAAGGCCTTTTCATGCAAGGTTCATTATAATAACATTTTCATCATACAATTCTCAACACACTAAATGGACCACTCATAATTTAACTCTATTTCGAAGACCTGTATTTTTTTAAAATTGACCGATCTTCATGCGGTTTCCGATATCAGATGTGATATTTCATCGGCTTCAAAGAGAGCTAGAACACTTTGAACGAGTCCGCAGAACACATGGTGTGAAGTGGAACTATTACACTATGGTCTACATTTCCAATGCTGCCAGAATACATTGGGACCTCAACTCGGGACATTTTCGTGATTTCTCCTTAATTGGCCATTGGAAAAAAAATTCGACATTTTTTCCGCATGAAGATCGGTCAATATTTTCAAAAAATACAGGTCTTCGGAGTCAAGTTATGAGCGGTCCATTTAGTGTGTTGAGAACTGTAGATGCTACAATTGAAATAATTCCGATCCACCCCTACAGACGGGTAGTTTATTCTTGCAGTTTTTCAAAAATCCTGCTGACCGAGCTTTTCTGGCTCGTATTTTTCCATCAAATTACATCTTTGGATATCTCATATAGAAATATAGATGCCACCAGTCAAATTATTTCGATCCACTCCTTCAGATGGGTAGTTTATTCTTGCTGTTTTTCAAAAATCCGTGTTGACCGAGCAATACGGGTTCGTATCTTTCCATCAAATTACATATTTGATTATCACATATATATTTATACACGCCACTAGTGAGATTATTTTGATCCACCCCTTCAGAGGCATAGTTTATTCCTGCAGTTTTTCAAAAATCCTTGCTGACCGAGCATTTCAGATTCGAATTTTCTCTTCAAATTGCATATTTGAATACCTTATATAGATGCCACCAGTGGAATTATCTCGATCCACCCCGTTAGAAGGGTAGTTTATTCTCGCAGTTTTTCAAAAATCCTTGCTGACCGAGCATTTCTGGTTCGTCTTTCTCCATCAAATTACACATTTGGTTATCTCATGAACATTTAAAGATGCCACCAGTGGAATTATTTCAATCCACCCCTTCAGAGGGGTACTTCATTCTTGTTGCTTTTCGAAAATCCTTGCTGACCCAGCATTTCTGGTCCGTATTTTTCCATCAAATCACCCCCTGAAGGGGTGGATCGAAATAATTCCACTGGTGGCATCTTATATATTCATATAAGATATTCAAATATGCAATTTGAAGGAAAAATTCGAATCAGAAATGCTCGGTCAGCAAGGATTTTTGAAAAACTGCAAGAATAAACTACCCCTCTGAAAGGGTGGATCGAAATAATTTCACTGGTGGCATCTATATAGTTATATGAAATATTCGAATATGCGATTTGAAGAAGAAATTCGAATCAGAAATGCTCGGTCAGCAAGGATTTTTGAAAAACTGCAAGAGTAAACTACCCCTCTGAAGGGGTGGATTGAAGTAATTCCACTGGTAGTTCCTATAAATCTATCTGAGATACCTAAATATGTAATTTGATGGAAAAATACGAACCAGAAAGAATAAACTACCCCTCTACAGGGGTGTATTGAATTAATTCTACTGGTGGCATCTATAAATGTATATGAGATAACCAAATATGTAATTTGATGGAAAAATACGAACCATAAATGGTTGGTCAGCAAGGATTTTTGAAAAACTGCAAGAATAAACTACTCCTCTGAAAGGGTGGATCAAAATAATTCTACTGGTGGCATTTGGAATTCGCGTGGAAATTAATTTGATGAGCTGTCCCAACTGACTCTGCATATACTATACCACCCCGGACAATTATTTTATTTTTGACAATATAGTAAAGAAAACAAAAGACTGCCTCACAGGGGATTTTTTTACTTCTTTAATCAGAAGATACCTTCTGAGAAAAAATACAGGCAGCAGCAAAAAGTTAATGAATCCCAGTATGAATTTTAAATAGAACACCATATATATTTTCTCACCATTGGAATGACTTTTATTAATGGAAATTGGTGTACAAAATCCGCATTGGTGAAATGCCCCTCCATAGAAACCAGCTGGGAAGCTTAATTTGGGCCTTTCAAAATAGTAATATATTTTATTTGAAATTTGAATAGGAAAACAAATATTGTTTAGATATAGAGGAGGATGCAAGATATAAAAATGCGTCTGTTGGATTTGAACCTCAGGTTAAACTGAGGAGATAATATTGTTTCAATTTCAGTGATTTACAATGAACACTAATTCATTTTCACAACAACAAAGATTAAAAATATTATTCGACTAACCAAAAATTTCATATTGTAAACTGAACAGAAAATAAAAACAAGATAATGCCATTTCCCGCCATTTCCTCAGCCATTTCAAGACTATTGGAACTATTAATAGGGTTTTATAGTATACCCTAGTGAAATTTACACCACATACTTATTGACTATTGATATTGCCAGGTATTAACAACTGTATTTGATACAGTCATAATTATGCAAAATCATCACAAATATATTTTTTCCTCATAATTCAATAACAAAAATAACCACCTCTCAAAAATGCTTAGCTCTCAAAGACATGACAAAGACATGACAATAAACATCAATAGTGCCATATTATTAAAAAACCAAAGAAAACAGGTATATTCACATTCTGAAAATTCACTTCTAGTGGAAGTGTGCTAAGATCCTGGTATATGTTTTCATGTGTTTTGCTACATTTTTCAAGTTATGAAATGGTTTGTGACAGTGAACCAGTTTGGGTTAATACTTCAAATAATAAAACACAATTTTTCACTGACACCAACATTTTTTTTATTGGTGTTATTTGATAGCTATGTTGATAGTATACCTTGAGCCTTCTCAGGGTTTGAATAAAATGTATTTATTATGAGATTTATTCCTATTTATTTTTATGTCACCCATATCTGATATTGGCTGATTTATTTACATCTCCCAAGTACATGATAAATGATTACACTAAATTTGGGGTCAATGTATTCCTGAACCAACTGTAGTTATATTTAGAAAAATATTCATTCATGTCTTAGAAATGTAGGCTAATCCTTATCATTTTTAATTATCAGATCTCTAAGTCATGAGTAATTATCAGCTTCCAATAATATTTTTTAAATAATCCTGCTTTTTATTGTTCCTCTAGTTTTCAAAAATGTACAGAATGTATCTATTTGATCAGCAGACAGTAGTGCATAGTCAAACAATTTCAAAATAAAAATTTGAAATTGTAAACTGCCAAGAGAACACCTGCTATAAAATCATATCTAATTGATATTCTTGCATTAGTTGCTTTCATGAATGATACAAACCTTGACATCCATAAAATCATAATCTGGGAAGCATGAATTCAGGGTAGCAATCAAATAAAACAGAGTTTTGCGGCTGATAGTGTCACATAATGGTCCATCTTCATCCCCAGATGTACTTCTACTGTACTGTGAATATCCAGGCGATACCCCCTGTGGAGGTGACAATGCTTGGAGATCGTTTGGGTGCACCCCCTCAGCGTTGAATCTCTTGTACAGGGCCTTGTCCCCACCTGCCATTTTGCAGGAATAACTTTCAATGCGCCCTATAATTTTGCTATCGCCTGTTTGAATGGAGAGAGCATTGTTGATAGCTTCAAACCTTGTACTTTCAAGAAGTTTCATCTTGACAAAATATCACAATGGAGATCAATATAGAATAATTTGAACTCTCAGGAGTAACAATAACAACTTATATTCTAAGGGGACACCAGACTCTATTACTAAAAAAGTTTTTGAACATAGCTGTGGGGTGTATGAATATTCCTTTTCTTTTGGAATGAACGAGACTCACTGACGGAACCAGGGTGCGCCTAACAGATCTTTTGGTTAATAGATAATCCGGGGACATTACAAACACTTTTGAACTGAAAACAAAAAAGAGTCTTTTAGGCTCTGTCTCTGATTTCCAAGCGAAGAATTCAACCTTGCTAGAGAGCAAAGCAATCGGGAGAGTCCACTCAAGTTCACTTCTCAAAATTTGCTACTACAAGTTTTTATCGAATAAGTTATTTCACCGGTGCTAGAGTTCATTCAACATCATTTTCACACTTTTGTTATCGACTAGTCACTGCTGAAAAACTATATTTTTCGAAAATAGGCTTGGTTTATCTAATCAAACTCGAAGAAAAAGCCTTTGTTCTCAACTTTGCTTTGACGTTTCTCGAATATAAACAACAACTAACAGCGTTGCCAGGCGTAAGAGACGCTCTGACGTCATTATCGAAGGTTGCCAGATGCTCGACGAAGTATTCAGTTTTCATGCATAGCATTGGTCTGCAGTCAGAAAAGCGACTGAGATTCGTATAAAGATTCATTCTTGTATTTCTCATAGTCCTGCATTTAGTATTTATATACTGCCCTTTTTGAATTATCCATTTTTGTTGAATATCGAAAAGTCAACCTAATCATTCTGAAAATTCAAGCAAGTGCAATAACAACTCAGCTTTTGTATCTCTAGATTGGGAAGTAGGTTACCTAAATATTGTTAATTAAACAGAATTGTATACTTCGCTGTACATAGAGGTATATATAACATTCATACCACTTTTTATCCCTTGGAGCACACGAAAGAGAATCCCTACATTTATAACTATGTATATCTCTGAAGATGCAAAGTACTGAAGTAGCAATAGGTAGGTTTAATGGATTCGATAATAAACTAAAATAATCAATTCCAAAACTGATTTTGGCACCTACTTTTTTTATTTGGGAGCGCACGAAAGGGAATCTCTATTATGTTCGTTGAGCATCGTGTGTACTTGGGGTAGATAGGGAGAAAAAGTAGGTATTGAACATTATTTCTAACTTATGAAGGTTATAAGTTGTGAATAATTCCAAAGCTTTGCGCTGTTCTATTTTCAAATTCGCTGTTGTAGTTTTGATAATAAATAGGTATTATTTATTGTGGTGTTATTATTATGAGATAGTGATTTTACTGACCCCATATACGGCATAAAAACTATAGCTTCTTATCATGTAAACATATCTGTATTATCTGTTGTTTGAATGCGCATCCTGGAGAAGTGCAAAAATAATGAATGCTTATATTTTGGCTGGACTCCTTTTGATTCATAATGTATTCTTATCAACATATTTCCGAACGGGAACAGAACACAGAGGCTTCATCGAAGAAAGAAGAAAGCGCCCCTTTTAAGTTTAATACACACAAAAGCAGTATAACATATGCTGGAAATCACATTTATTTGTCACATTAAATTTAGACTCAAAAACATCCAACAAAATGGGAGAAAAACGAAAAACCACACTCTCGCTCCATCTCCACTTTCCAAGTCCTGTTCATTTCATTTAGTAAACAGAAAATGGAAAAAACAATTTGACAACCGGACGCAGCCGAACTATCAATCTACTAAATTTAACTCGGCCATCGGGAAGCGCGTTCAGCGCTACGTTCACTTTTAGCCAACACTCAAAAGCCCAAAATATAACATTAGTTGATTATTTTAACCTCGCTAGAAAATATAATCCTCCACGACGTGGTAACTAAGGTCTCGCGTGTTTAACATGCAGTGAAATCGGACACCCCGCGACCACAAACATGAAAAGATGGGACCAAATCTCAGACACATCCAAAACCTGGTCGTCTTGCTGACTTGAAAACTATGAGCCTGAAGGAAGCATCCCCCGAACAAAGTATTGGCCGCGATCCAAAATCCAAACGCAACAGTGGCCTCTTTGCCTTCTTCAAATGGTTCAAGCCCTCGGCATCGCGAGAATCCATAGACGTCGAGCCGCAAATATCCAGTTCGACCAGTTCGGATAGCCTGAATTCCATCCACAGTGCGGGCACAGTAGCATCCTTCTCCTTCGTACCAGCCAGTGCATACAAGAAATGTGTCTCAGAAAAGTGCATCGCTCCAGGCCCTGAGACCGACACCTACAAGGCCAGACTCAAACAAAGGGACAAGAGACGGGAGAATGACAAGAATCTGACGCTCAGGAAGAAGTACAACCTCTTCTTCCACCGCGATACGCTACAGCACCCAATAACTGTCGACGAGGAAAACTCGAAGAGCCTTCCTCTGATGACGCGGGGTGTTATGGAAATCGACGAGGAACCGAAAGTGCACAGGAGGACCAACAGCGAGTCTTCGAAGATCAGGAAAAGCGGTTACACACACGTCAAAGGCAAGCGGAAAGCTCCACAACCACCGATGTCCAAAACAGGGCAGGACGGCATGTCCACAGCTAGTCTGAGGAGAACCAAACGTTTAGCCCCTGCCCCACCGCCGGTCGACAAAATCATCGAAACCCTTCAGGACGAACAAGTTGTATGCAACGATTATCTGAAGCTAGACCATGGGTACTTGAGACCAGTTAGAGATACTGGCTCTATTTCTCCTGTACCCGACAAAGCTTACGAACTATTATCGACTTCTCCGAAGCTTGCTGCTGAGGCCCCAGTGTCCCCTAGACCTTGGTACAAACGCAATACCATCAAAGACAGCGTCTCAAGCAAGAAAGACAAAGCTGACCACAAGTACGAACCTATAGAACGCTTACCAGAAGTCCCATTCTCCAGAAACTCAACATTGGATTTGACAATTGAAGATAAGAAGAAAGAAGAAAAGAGAAAGTCCGGTATGTCGTTTCTTACAAACATAAGCGAGTTGGATAGAGAAGCATACGAGATCGTGAGGAACAAAGACAAGGACAAAAACCTGGAAGAAATGCCCGAGTTTATGCGTCCAAAAGAAGAGAAGGGAAGCACCGACAGTTGGGTGTCTCCCAAACGGAGATCAGCTAGGGATCTAATAGCAAAGTTCAATGCTATCACTAATGTAACCAAAGTCACAGTTTTCGGAGCCTCACAGAAAGATACCAAGTTTTTTGGGAAGCAGACTAGCTTGGATGACGCTAAGAGAAGACAGGAGTTCTTACTGGAGACGCACAAGAAGAGAATAGATGAAATTGACAAGAAGAATACACCACTAGCCAAATCAGAAAGTAGCAAATCTGTGACGCAAAAACCAGATACTCCGAAGTTCGAGAGAAAGAGTTGGGTTTGCCGGAAATGCAACTTGGAGAACGAATATTGGAGGATCATTTGTCACGTTTGTTCTTCTATTAAACCGTACTTTGATGATTTCTCGTCGTCTTCAAAAGGTGAAAGCAAAATACAAGTGAAAGCGTCTAGTCCATTGGTGGTGAAGAAAGAAAAATCTCCACCTCAGAAGTTTGATATTGAGAGATCAAAGACTCAAATTGGGTTTTCTGCCCTTGCCAGTTACAATAAACCAAAGATTGAAAGAACTGTATTAGGAGAGGAGCAGTCACAAAAAGAATTGGACACCAAGAAGGAAGAAAGGGAAAAACTGAAGAGAATGTTGATAGAGATGAAAAACTCATTGCCGAAACGTAAATCTCATGTGCTGCTCAAACAAAACAGCAGGAAAAGTATTATCGTAGAAAATTCTGAAGTGGGTGAAGAAATAAAAGAAAGTGGAAGTACAGAAGGTATAGGTGAAAAGTCCAGTGGAAGTGAAGAGAATATAACTAAAGAAAGTGATATTTCCAAAGGCACAGAGACTGTTGAAATAGAAAAAACCCAAGAGGAAAAAATAGCGGAAATCTTGATAGGCACAACACAAACTATATACGAAAACATCAAAATTCGAAAAACAGAAAATCCAAAACCGCTCAAAGTATCTTCATCTGTCCAAACCAGTGCCGTAGTGAAACAAGTAGTTCCGGGCAGCTCTCTGAACAATTTGATAAAATCCCAATCAAAAAACAATCACTACGAATTGATGCGACCCAAGGATTTCGAAAATATTTACTCTGACACGAATGCCAAATCCGCTGCAAAAATCTACGCGAACTTAGCTAGGAACGACGAACTATCTTTATTCTTCAACGTACCGAAAACTTTGAAATATACCAACAACGGGTCCAAGACTGTGAATCATACTGATACGATCGAGATCAACAGGCTTTTGAAAAAATTGGAATCTTCTATATCGAAAGGGGAACTTGTGCAAGCTTCTGATTATGCAAAAGAATTGGCGCAGCTGAGGGTTAGCTGTTCTGTGATCAGACAAAAAGCAGTGGTGCCATCATTAGGAGAAAAGAAAATTCGGTGGGTATTTCTTAATTTTTGATTGAAATTCTAATTTCAGTAGCAGGTTTGAAAACGCCTTCTCTTCCCAGTGTAAAATCCCGGGTGTTTTGATTTCCATTCAAACCTTGTTTGATACAATCCTGAATTATAAAAATAGCTATTTGTGTCACAAAGGAGGAAAGTGAAACTTTTTCTTCCGAGGATGAAGTTTACTGCTCGACGCGTAGCGGGGAGGGCAGTATCATTCAAGGGCGAGGAAGAGGCAGTTTACACCCATGTTATAGTACATATAATTTTTCCGCCTCCCTCAAACAAGTCATTAAAAAAATATTTAAGAAACTCACAAACAATATTTATTAAAGAACTAAAACCAAGAACTAGGTACAGTATAACTTATAGGCACGTTATTTTCATTATTGCATCCTACATATTTTTAATTTGTGGTAGAGTAATTGAATTGGAACAGATACAGGGTGATCAGGATTCTGAATCTTGAACCTCCCTGTATCTGTTCCAATTGAATGTCAGTAGATAGTTAATTAAAATCTGAGACAGGGACATGTAAGCCGTTTTGACCAATAATGAATATATTAGGCACGAAAAAGCCCTAAATTTGAAAAATCTCGATTTTTAACAACCCTATATCTTTGTGATCATTTCAGCTAGACTCCATAAGTGTGATGTATTGAAGGAATCAGCTCTTTAGGGAGAACCTAAAAATGCAATGATATACAATGTTTTCCATTTAAAAATAGCAACTTTGATACATTGAGTGTTTTTGGCATACCCTGTACATGAAAATATCTTCAAAATGTATCGCTGATAAGATTCGAAAAAAGCCACAATGCCTCGTGTTGAATAACCCTGTATAATAGAATATAGTTTATTAATGACGTACACCACGTCACTTTTAGTTTTCCTCCCAAGGGAGGAAAAGTTAGGGAGGAAAATGTTGCTCCTTACAATGAGGCTAGGAAATGTATACTTTGTATAGAGGTAGGCGGAAAAAATATTTTCCATTGTACTGATTATCAATATGCTGAATATATGTACTTTTATTTCGAAAACACCTCGTATACATATCGTGTCCCAAAATCGATCCTCACCATTGGGATCTTGGTAACCGTGACAAATAGAGAGACGGTTGAATTACTTAAGTTTCAGCAAATGCAATTGTGAATATTGTGATTCAGAATCCGTCGGAAAATCAGTCATTTCTGGGTTATTTTTAAGAAAAACAGAAATTTTGTATTTTCATTTTTCTCGAATATCTCGAAAACCTTTGGTCATACACCAAGGCGACTTCAACCCTTATGATCGTACTTTTTACTTTTTGATAAAAAGAGAAGAAAAAATGAGTGTTGGAGGTCATAACTCAGAAAATTGATATTTTTAACAAAAACTGATGAAACCATTTTAAAGATCACTGAAAAGTGCTATCAGAATGTTGAAGTCATTTCATTATACAATCAATAATTCTCGAGATAACTTGAACAAAAATACAAAATTGAGGACAAGCTAATCTAGATTTCTTAACGGATTCTGAATCAAGATTGAATTTGCTGAAACTTTGCTGAACCGACTCTCTATCTCTTATAGAGTTACAATCCCAATGGTGAGGATCGAAGTTGGGACACACTGTATACAAAATATATCAATTTTCTTCCTTTTTAGTGTAGAAATGTATGTTGAAGACAAAGTATCGCACAGAGGACCATTTTCAGTAGAAGTTTCACAGGATCAAACAGTTGCTCAACTGAAATTGCAAATAGAGAAAGAGTATGAAATTCCTGCAGCCTTCCAAAAGTGGATTTTGGGAAAAGAGTTGGTGACAGATGACAAAACCACGCTCAGAGATCACAATGTCACCACAGAAGGTTGTCCAGTTTTTCTATACTTGGTTGCACCAGGTAAATATAGTATACATATTTATTATACTGCTTACAATATCAAATACAGGGTTTTATGATAAAGTAATGCACAAAATTCATAAAACGTACAACGATCACCTTTGAAAAAAATACAAAAACACGTCAAACTGTTCTTTTTATTCCGCTTCTTTTGATATAAGTTACAAAAATAACACGTCAAAGTTCTGACGTCATCAACAATTTTTTTTTAATGGGAAGCTAAGATTTTTATTACATTATGTGAGCCCTACTGCAACTATTTTTCCCTTGTGTAAAAACACAAGCTCTATCACATAATGTAATAAAAATCTTAGCTTCCCATTAAAAAAATTTGTTGATGACGTCATAACTTTGACAACTTTGACGTGTTATTTTTGTAACTTTTGTCAAAAGATGTGGAATAAAAAAAAACAGTTTGACGTGTTTTTGCATTTTTTTCAAAAGTGATCGTTGTACGTTTTATGAATTTTGTGCATTACTTTATCATAACCCTGTATATTGATTTTCAAGTCAAAACAGGGGCGTCCAGAGGGGAAGGCAAGAGGGGGCGCTCGCTCCCCCCCCCCCCCCTAGCGCCTGGTCTTTACTCAGATACTTTTCAAACAAGATACATTTGCATTATTCAATTCCTATTCTGATTAGCGCTTATTACAGTGACTTTCTGAGACTTTGTTTAATTAGTATTCATCGACATCTTATAGATAGATATAAAGTTGATTTTATCAACGAAGTTATTGATAAATTTGCTCAAGACTCTATAAGAATGCCATTTTTGTTTGAACAAGATTATTATCACGTGTAATTTTTTATTGTTCTCTTGGCTGTAAACAGAATACCTATGTGGTGTCAATTCAATTTATTTTCTTTTTTGTTATTCCATTTTTCATGTAGAATAATAGAAGATTATATATCGAGAGAGTAAAGTGCATGATTTTTCCAGGTGGTTTTGTAGCCAGAGGGTGCTACAATGCACTGAGGTATAAGAAAGAACTCACTTCCGAGATTCATATACCATTTTTTGCACGACTCGACGATTTTAATATGAAAATGAAAATCTGAACACAATAATCATAAAATCAAGTTATTTGATTATCATGACTACCGATAAAGAAGAGTAGCCATATTGCTTTTTGTGAACATCGAAAAAGTGTGGTAGCATAGTTTCTCAATTGCTTTCCACAGTTTTTTCAATAAATATTGCGAGAATGTGTGGAACATAGTGGTAGATTTATTGCCAGAAAAATCCCGGAAATTTGTTTAGCCTAGAGAGTGCCTACTCTGTATACCCTGTATTCCCGCTTTTGTTGGTGTAAAATCGCTTATAAGTCGTGCAAAAACTGTTTTTTTGATATGTAGTGAATATTGTACATTATTTGTTGTGACTTGCCCCTCCCTGAGATTATTTCTGCAGACGCCCCTGAGTCAAAACACAGATAATTAAAAACAATGAAATATTTCTCAGGACAAAATCACAATATACAGGGTGGTAAAGTTCTCAAAAATTAATATAGCCTACTATACTACATTGAAAAGCTATATAATTCCAAAATACCAAATTCGAATACGAAGTTCATGAACTATGAATATAAAATCTATTTCTCTGCATTGTGATATTGTCATGTCAACGATATTGCTAAAATCATGTAGTGGAAAGCTTTTTATTTTTTCAAGCGAAAACCGTGCACCAGATTGAAAAAATTGTGGTGATCAAATTTGTTTAGAAATGATTGGGAATTTCAGTAATGATTTCAATTTCGAGATTAATCAGTGGCGTACCATCAATGTCTGCCAAAATAGGTATGTGAATTCCATACGAACGCCACTGGTGGCAACCAAAAAAAAAATGTGGTACACTTACTGATACCTCTTGATACATAGTACATGTATGCCAAATTTCATTAGAATATCTGAAGTGGTATTACAGATATTAATGAAAAATTATTAATTTTTGAGAACTTTATCACCCTGTATCTCAAAAGTTAGGAAGTTTAGGTCATACGTTCATATGAAACTTCTTTCTTAGAATGGGCCCAAGAATCGCCTCCCCAAATATTGACATCCAATTATGGAACACCCTGTATATATTATAATCTTCACGTATTTATTTCAACTTTTCAACGTTTCTTACATCTTTCAATAAATATTCAGAATGAATAAGGTTTTCTATCCAAATATACGGAGTATATACTTGGCGTTCCATTATGCATACGAAAAACTATATTAGATCACATCCTAAAAGAAATCTTGCATTAAAAAACAAAGAAAGTCCTCATTATTTTATTTCAGACGGAAAAGGCATCACAGTCCAAAAAGCGAATTCGAAAATTGATATAAAAAACCTGCCCTCAACATCGAGATTGAGCATTTTAGTTGATGAAGCAGAAAAGAAAAAAACTTCCGAAATGATTGACATCACCACGAAACAAACCGGAAGCACTCAAAAGGCACCTAAGGAGAATGAAGATTCAAAATCCGAACAAAAAACAATTGATCATGTTCCCAAAATAATAAACGTCATCAGAAAAGGTTCTGAACCTTCATCTAAACCAGAAAAAACCCATGAGAAAATAGACTTATTACCAACTACTTCTAGAGATAAATTAGAGAAGATAATAACAGTGAAACCAAGTATGGAAGTGAAACCAATAATCCAGTATGTATTTCCAACCATTCAAAACTCATACCAAACCGAAGCTGTACCAGAAAACCCAAAAACACTCACCAAAGAAAAAGAAAAACCCACCAGTACAAACCTACAGTCAAGTACAGGTACAGCATCTTCCAGTATTGCAACATTTGCAACTGAACCAGCTAAAATACCAGACACCAGTCCTATACCCCCAAAAGCTGAAATAGAAGCCACAGTAGAATACGAATCAACCACTCTAAAACCTTCCACCGATTGGGAATGCCACCTGTGCACATTGCTGAACCCTTCAACCAGCAATGTATGCGCAGTATGCGCCACAGTCAGACTCAACAAGCCCAAACCGACTGAAGCCAACGTGATAAGAGAAACTGCCAAGGCAGACATGACCTATCTGCAGCTGGTCCATCTAGACAACGCTGACCTAGTAGAAAATGCGTACCCCTTCGAGTGCATGATTTGCTTCGCGGAAATAGCCCCAAGAGAGGGGTGCACCCTCAGGGAGTGCCTCCACCAGTTCTGCAAAGGGTGCTTGGCGCATACCATAGAGTTCGCTGAGGAGGCAGCTGTCGAGTGTCCTTACAGGGACAACGTCTATTCCTGCAATATCGCCCTCCAGGACAGGTAATGCATGTGGGACCCTAGAGGGATAGTTTTGGGGTAGTACCGTCAAACGGCGCTAAGTTGATCAAAAAAATGCGTTTTTTATATTTTTATCGAAAATTATTGTGACGAACAATATACAATAGTTGTTTTTGTATCTAGAGCGCGAAATGCTACTTTGGTGATCAAGATCTGATCTGAAAAAATAGTCGCAAATTTTAGGGGTCAAACAGAGTCACTTTTGATCCGAATGAAACATGCTATTTTTTCTGCAATCGAAATAATTGATATCTAATTAATAATATATAGAGGTGACGTTACCACTATTCCGACATTTTGACTCACTTGAGCATGTTAGTGTTAAAGCAGCTATCATATCAGCTGTCATTTCCTAGGAGTTGAACTTCAACTTCAGCTCCTTGACATTCAAAGTGTAGCATACATACTTATCATTTTATTATGTCAGTATAGGAGAAATGTTGACTTCAAGAGCTGAAATTTTGGAACAAAAATGGACGACTTTAAATTTTATCAAATGTATGTTCAGTAATAACTATTAAACACATTTAGAGCATGTAAGTAAATAAAATTATGAAATTAGTGCCTTCACAATCAATCGTTTGAACAGTTTCGTAACGGCGAGACGACTGGGGCGCGAAAACGTTTATTTTGTACTGAAACACCCGACTGATTAATTTTACCCACTATGGTCCACCGCGTTTGACGATACTGATTTATTTATTATTTCATTCGACAAGTGTTTTGAGATGCTGAATCCGAATCTGAGGTTTGCTAACAAAATTTCAAAACTCAACATTGAAAAAATCCAAAAATATGTGAAAATTAAACTCACTGGGAAAAATAAACGGCCAACAAGAAAACTGCCCAAACTGTTCACCCTGTAACTTTTTTAATCCTAAACCGATTCTTGTGAAATTGCGATCAAATCGTAGATTTATGTTCTGGAATGTTAGCCTAGATATTAGTTTCCATAAAAAGCTTATGGCTTGATCAGTATACAGGAAAAATCAAAAGTTACTCTTTTACCCATAACTTCTTAACGACCAGTGGCAAAGGTGAGTGGTCTAACTTAGCTTCATTATGTTTTGGATTGAAGTGTGATCCCTTCTAAGCACAATGGTTTTTGATTCACGTCCATAACCACTTCTTACAGAAGATAAAAGTAACAAAAAAAGGGAGAAACTCAAAGTCATTACCGCAGAATGGTAGAAAACGAGAGAAAAACCACATCTGTAGTGGACTGTAGTTTTTTTTTTAAATCAGGCTGAATCAGTCGCGGAAAAGTACTTTCTCTGCACCACTCCACAGGATTGGAAGTAACTTTCATGAACGCGACACGGCGATTAAATTTAAAAAGAGATTCTTTGTGCACCATATATATGTATACATGTTTATATATTAACTAACTATATTATGAAGACTATACAAAACTAAGACATAAGGAAGGGTGAAAACATTCTTGAACAAATTATATCATCCCGAAATCTATGCAATGATTCGTATAGACGAATACAGTTGTAAGTGTTTATTTCCTGAATGCGCGGTTTCGAGCTTTGGCTCTCATCAGTGCAGGGGTGTCTCCAGATGGCATCCATGACCACCATCTGTCATTGAGTTTCTTCTTTGTTACCATTTCATTCCACTTTGAGTATTTTGGCTTTTTCCTAGTTGAATATACAAGTGTTTTGAGAAAGTATGGATTGTTTTTATTTTCGAATTGTCACGAAATTTGGTTAGCAAACCTCAGATTCGGTATCAAAAACGAATATTCTCAGATATAATTATGAACACAAAAAAATGGATGTATATAAAGAAATACATTGAGAATTTGCATTCTCTATGTGATGAAAATATTAATTCTTTCTCGGTTTATTCAACAGAAAACAACTACTTTCCTGGCTAGTTGCCACGTCGAACATTGAATTATATCTGTTGAATATCCAAAAAGAGAGCATGAAAAATCAAAATCCTCTGGAATTGAGAATTGACATTATCTCTCAAATCGAATAGAATAATATGATGTAATATGATATAAACAAAAATATCACTTACCAATATGTTCTTGTTCAGTATTGAAATGAAAATTGAAATGTATAGAAGTATACTTCTATGAACTCTGATCTTGAATGAGCTTGGAACTTCCGAAAAAATCATTCGTATCAGTGATATGGGTATTATATCTCTCACAAACAGGTTATATTATGACTTCACTCGATTAAAACTCATTTCGGATATCAGATCCTCATCGGTAACCTGAAGTCCAGTTATTCTTCCAGCCATTCTTCATGATATACACAATTTTCATCTCCCTATAATATAACTAAAACTATAACGAACTGAAATCTGAGAATTAGAATTTGTTGGCCACTGTCATCTGGGCATTCGTGTGTATGATATTCGGCTTTGAAAACGAATGGAATGATTTGAATCAAACTACCTGCTGATAAAAATACAAGTTAACATTTTGACTGAATTAAGGGAAGTGAAAGCTCTGGTGGAGCCCCAGGTGTATGAGCGACACCTGGCCAAATCCATGGCGCAGGCTGAGAACAAGATCGACAAGACGTTCCATTGCAAGACGCCGGATTGCAAGGGATGGTGCATCTTCGAGGATAACGTGAACGAGTTCAGATGTCCTGTGTGCAAGAATGTCAACTGCTTGACTTGCCAGGTGTGTATTGTATGGATAAGGGGGGAATACATAGCGACCTGAAAGATCTATTGTGTCCCCTCCATTCAGTCATGTTCATCTGATTATTTCAGTGATATATTTCAATGTTGAAAAGCTGTGCCGGATTTATACTCCCTTACGCCGGGGCTAACATTTTTGGTTTGTCTATGGGCTAACCTTTACGATGCCACCGCGCCGCCGCCAAATATTTAATTTTCAATTGTCAGTTTCAAAATTCGAATAATCCTTTCACTGCTTTTTTTACAGCCTATAATAATGACATGAAATCATTATGTATAACGAATCAAATAATACTTACTTCACACGTTAAACATAACAACAAACAACAATAATATTTTTTTCAGATGAATACTAAAATACTTTTTGATGGAAAGTCGTCAATGGCATCATCAAAATTCAGATTTAATAACATATGTCACTGTTAATACTTAAAATTGATAAGATATTCAATATATCCTCTACCATGGAATTCCTAAGGTAGTTTTTCACTCTTTTTAAAGTTGAGAATGACCTTTCACCACTGGCATTAACAATCATCAGGCATAGTATAAAAACAGTCTATCAGTAATTGCCAATATTCAATGAATTAGGAATTTGTTGTGATTATCCCTAAAACAACGCTTAGTCGTGTCCATATTTTGATCATCTATTTTTGAGATTCTTACTCTTCTTTTTCGCGTTTTGAATTTGAAAAAATATAAAAAACTTACCATTCCCGTCTTGATATCGATATATGGAAAATATATGAGATATTTATATTCCAACTAAATGGTCCTCAATCGAGAAAACATCCAGAAAATCATTTATTTCTGAATGTTCAACAATAACTTCGTTTTATCTCTTGGAGCGCACGAAAGGAAATTTCTTTCATGTTCGTGGAACATCGTGCCTACCTAGGGAGGATAGGGGAGACCTTTTAAGCCAGTTCAATACAATTTTTTATATCAAGCAAAGCATATTTTTACTTTAGAACTATATTTTTTGACGTTTGTAGAAAAAATGTTGTTTGCAACTCGAGCGCGAAATGCTTTGGTCATCTCAACTATTTTTTTAACTCGGCTACGCCTCTTTAAAAAAATCAGATCTCGATCACCAAAGTAGCATTTCGCGCTCTAGATACAAAAATAACTATTATAGGTAACTAATTAACCGAATGGGAGTATATATATATACATTATTCATGGTACATTCGTTCATTCATAAAGCTTTCAGAATATGTGCACACAATGTGACACAATCAAGGCTGTACTTAAAAAAAAAGTTGATGATTGTTTTCCGAGTGAAACGTCTCATAGAGAAATCACTATCACCATGTTGAATCCTATCGAAAATTGCTATGTAATAGCACGAGAGTAATGTTTGCAGCATATAGGCCGTGTTCAAATGCTGCAAATCATATGAGTGGGAAAATAAAGTGCGAGTTATACTGTTATACACTATACTTTTTCTACGGCTTTAACAGATAACAGCGAAATTTTTTTCAATTTGATTCGCAGCATATGAGCCGTTTGGAAATTCTGCAAATCATACTATACTTTTTCTACGGCTGTAACATGGAATAGCGATTTTTTTATTTCCTCCGCGTGTAGCCATCTGATTTTTTCTTCATCTATTACACAGAGCTGTCATTGTTTGAAATTTGACATTTATTATGAAACAATAAGACAAGTCATAGTCTTATCAGATGAGGAAATGAAATTGAGACATACAATGTACATCATTGATTTATCAAAATCAGTAGAACAAGTGCATTTTTGTGGTAGAAAAAAGTATTTTCAGATTTGCTGTATGTCCAATAATAATGTAAGAAAAATGGATTTTCCAGAAACCCACTTTTTTCTATATAACTGAAATAGTAGTTTACAAGTGCGGAAAGTGATGCTTTTTCGCACGTATTAATTACACTACTTTTTCTACTAGCGTGCGAAAAAAACAAAAAGTTAACATGAAGAAGCATTCATCAAGTATTAATAAATGTTCAAATGTCAGTATACTCCCCAGAAACTTAACAAATTTAGTTTTCCGCACTACTGCGGAGGAAACATTTGTCCGCACTAGTGCGGAAAAGTGGATTTTTCCGCACGCTAGTAAAAAGAAGTGAAAATGAAAGTATGTTGGAATAACTCTCTGGATACACAAATTCTCGTTCTTCAGGCGATCCATATGGGCATGAACTGCAAGAGATACCAAGAACAGATGACGTCATCCTCGGAAAACGACACCGAGGCGAAACGCACGAAGAAAATGCTGGAGGAAATGGTGAAAAACGGCGAGGCCATAGAGTGTCCGACGTGCAAGGTGATCCTGATGAAAAAGTGGGGCTGTGATTGGTTGAGGTGTTCAATGTGCAAAACGGAGATTTGCTGGGTGACGCGAGGCCCGAGGTGGGGCCCCGCCGGCAAGGGGGACACTTCGGGGGGCTGTCAGTGCGGCGTGAACGGGGTCAAGTGCCATCCCAAGTGCAACTATTGCCACTAGCTTCTCCTAGAGTTCCTAAATGTACTTGACACTGCTGTTTTGACGTTTTTTGTATATTAGAGTCTTAGATCATACAGTCAATGATCTAAGATTAGAGTACCGACACTACCCAGCGAGCACAAACATCCCTGGGATGTTTTGAGAATGTTGGCATGAAGATGTTATTTCGAGACGTAATATGCACTGACCAAAGAGGTCTTTGAAGGATATTGAAGTATGAAGTTTTTGTTCTTCTGTGGCATTTCTTTGTTTGCCTACTGAGAGGTATCCCTGGGATGTTTTGGGATGTTTTAGAAATGTAGGCATGAGGATGTTTTTTTTGAGGCGTAATATGCAGAAGGATATTGAAAGTATTGTTTTTGTTCTTTTGTGCCCTTTCTTTGTTTGCCCCACCACAACGTCTCATGCTTACGTCACAATACGATGAATTCTGATTTGTTTTCGATTTTGTTCTTCTTGTTCGCAATTGGCATTCGCGTTTGCAGCGTGTCACGCTTACATCACGCTGCTAACGAACAGAAAGGAATTTGGTGAAGTTTATTGTGTTAGAAGACTTATTTAGTTTGTAATAATGATCATCAGATGCAAGATGTGTTGTTCGGTGCCCCAGTGTAATCAATATATAAAAGTACGAATTCATCAATACACAGCTTCTCCGCAGTTGCAAAATTATGCATTGTGGAGAACATTCCAAGAATTGGGAAACCAATTTCCAATTATATGTCTGTGTGTAGTAAGCACTACTCAGAAACCGATTAAGAAGGTAATTTCATATCAAGAAAATATTTTTATGTTCAATATATTTTTAATGCATTTTTTCATTCAAGGGAAATGGAATCCTAATGCAGAGTTAGCAAAATTCAGAACTATTACGTAAAAATTATTTCAGATATGAAACAAAATCAGCAAATATCTTCAGAGGAATACAAGCATGTTTCATTGGTTGAAATTCATCAGTTTTAACCGCATTCTGAAATTTTGTGATAAAAAAATTTCAACTGAACGTATACCGGGTGGCTACGGAAGTATTGCCTACGGAATATCTCAGTTATTGTATGAAGTAGGTTTGTGAAATTTGGAGCGTCGATATAATGACATAAGAGCTAGAATTTGAATTTTTGGTTTGTCTATGGTGCTTGTCTAGTGTCCCTACTCTAATATACAAAAAACGTCAAAACAGCAGTGTCAAGTACATTTAGGAACTCTAGTTTATCCGTGGTACTTACTTAATGTTTAGGTTGCATTGGAGGTCTTGATCAAGAAAAGGGGAAATTTGGCTTACAAAATTGTTCACTCATTATTGCTTAAACACTTCCCAGAATTACTGGGTATTACCCACAATATAGAATTCACTTAAGTTTCCAAAATTTCTAGTTAATGCAATTGGTAATGTTGCAAAGTTCAAGTTGAATAGGTACATAATTCGAATTATTAGTTGATAAATCTTTCACAATATGAAAATAGTTCAGTGATTCACATTTTTTTGGGTTGGTTTTTAGCAACTAATCTGGCACATGGATTATATTATTTTAGATAGCACAATACAATATTTTTACATGAATTTCAGGCATATATCATTACTTCATGCAGGCGGCTCTTGGACTATTATTATAAAAGAAACACCTAGAATGAGTCTTGAAAACATAATTTGATTTGAAGTTTTTTATTCCTAGTTAAAAAAAAGAACTTCTATTCCAGAGTTCTGAATATAATTTTTCTTAGAAATATGTTTTCCAAGAGCTACTCAATGGTACTCTTTTTGTTGTGATCTGACAGTCAACTGGATATACTTGGTTTATAATGTTGGACAAGTCTAATATATTTTGGTAAAATTTGGGAGATCTCTGGCTGAAATTAATTGAAAACTAGCCATTTGAATTTATAATTTTTTATATATTATCATAAATTGATTATAATTGATATGTTTTGAAGTTATTGAGTTACCAATTTTGTGATAATACTGCCTCAAACTGGCAAAAAATACATTTATTTCATGGTTGCCAAATTAACAATAAAATTGTTCTTTAATGATATGTAGTTTCATTTTTATCTGAAAACAAAAAAACACTTGGAAGTGAAAGATTTAAAATTTTTCATTTTGGAGTATTGCCTTCTGATTATATGGTAGTTTTTGAAATAATAGAATAATGCTGTACTTGTTCCCTCTTAAGTGTTAAAGCAGAAAGTTTCTTAATCTGGAGATTTTTTCAGTACCCAGTCCACAAACTGCATGCAGCTTTCAATTATTTCATTTAAATTGAAAATTAAGGAAATCATCATTGTTTATGTAAATTTGTTTATTTGAAATTTCAATTACTATTGACAAAAAATATGCATTCATCTTCCAAACCATTGGTAGACTGTGGAGTAACACCAAAATAATCAAAATGAATCAGATTTTTTCATCATAAAAATTATAATAATCAATTTAATGTTCACTTAATTTACTGAGAAAGACCATTGGAGCAAACAAACCTAAGGACTGCATATTCAAACACATACAAATTAATATACAATCCCATATTCATTACCACAAAATTCCTGCAAATAAACAAACAAAAAAATTCATGTCATACCACATCCAATCTCTTTCACTGTGATACCTAACTCTAACCCTGGAAGTACTTAGTATGGTCTTGGAGGTCCAGGTGGTCCACCCCTCATCATGCCAGGTGGAGGCCCCCTCATACCCATGGGCGGCGGCCCCCCGCGCCCCATTCCCATCTGGGGAGGCATCCCCATCATGCCAGGTGGGGGGCCCATCATGCCAGGCGGCGGTCCGCCCATCCTTGGGGGGCCCTGGTTCATCTGGGGTGGGGCAGACACTTGCCCCCTGCCCCCAGGGGTCATCACCTGTTGTGAGGGCCCCCCTACACCTCTGACGGGGCCTTGGAGCCCGACAGGGACTCCCGCCATGCCTGGAGGCATGCCTCTACCTGCAGCTCTTCCAATTCCTTGAAAAGAGATTGATTTTTGAATAATTGTTGAATCCAGACAAAATTAAAGTAATGATGCAATAAGTACCTGGTCCAGGTGCAGCACCAGGTACAGGTACCCTAGGAAGTCCCTCTTCTGGTGGTGGAGGTCCTTCTACTGTAAGAGATACAATACTTTCCCCTCTCAACAAAACAAACCCTAAAACCCTCTTTTCTTCTCTTTCCACTTTGGAGTTTTTTGGTTTGATTTTGCGAAATTCCTCGCAGTCACCTAGGATCATGTTCATGTGCTTGTCGAATGCTTTGAAAGTCCCTATGAATGTTCGGGAGTCCTGCAGGGTTATTCGGACCCTGAAGTTTATGTGCTGGATCATTTTATTGTTCTTGCCGATCGTCTGAAACATTGCTTTACAGTAGATGTGGCGGCTAATTATTGGAAAAACACTTACCATTTTGATTGAATTTTATTATAACAACTACAACAATATAATCAAAACGAAATGCAAACGCTAAACGCTCCGCTAGCGCTAGCGTCTTGTTTATAAATAACCTCAATTTTACATCTTCTACTTTCTGATTGTTTCTGATTCTGACACAATGACCCCAGTACTACTAGCACTGCACGTGCACTGTCATTACAAGTGCCAGTCCTGATACGCCATCGCCACATTTTCTTCTAATAAAATTCTGATGGCCATAAGTTTGTGAGCAATCTGACTACAACTGATAGCCAACTCACTAATATAATACGATTATTACGAGAGTGTGATATGAACGAAAATGATTAAATTAATGTAAATTGCTGAATCTCCTTGAAGTTCTGTGGTCGGAAAATGTGAAATGTCGGAAGGTCGTATATATGGAAATAAGCTTATTTTATCTCTGTCCAATTAAATGAGAAGAAGAAGATTAGATCCAATGCTGCCAACTCCTCATTTCCGGAGCTTTCTTTTCCGCTTTGTACAGAAACATGACGGGCTTCAGTGAGAAGGTAAATTATTTATTTTTTCAATAAACCTTATTACTTGTACTTTTTACATTTTTGCCGAATATGTAATTGATTTAGAAGTCAAGTTCTTTCCATCGAACTCATATCTTCCATTCGATTTCCGAATAGAATTATAACCTCAAATGTACCATTCACGTGTTGAAACAGAGATTCCAACTTTATTTTCGTTTTAGGCCATCTTGATCGATGGCAGAGGCCATCTGCTCGGGCGTCTTGCGGCGATCGTATCCAAAACTCTTTTGCAAGGTAGCAAAGTCACAGTAGTGAGATGTGAGCAGTTGAACATCTCTGGAAACTTTTACAGGTAGGAAGTGAAATAGTGAACTGTGAAATGCTGTAGTATGAATCATTCACCATATGCACCCAAGTTGTTCTCTACATAGCAGTTCTTTAAAGCAAACTATGAAGGATTATTTATGTTCTTCATTCCAGGAACAAACTGAAATTCTTGTCTTTCCTTCGCAAACGGTGCAATGTTAATCCTGCACGAGGACCATTCCACTTCAGGGCCCCATCCAGAATTTTCTGGAAAACAGTTCGTGGTGAGTACCACCACTTCATGTTTTTTTTTTCTGGAATTTGTACTCATGATTTCTATGCATTTTTCAGGTTTTATAATTAATTTTTTCAAATCAATGATTATAAATTTATCTTACCTACATTATTTGAAGATAATGAAAATATGTTTATTCTTATGAGATTGTTGTTATGCACCTTCATAACTTGAATTATTGAGAAAGCAGAATCTGAGATTAGCATTTTTTTAAAGGAATGTTACCCCACAAATCTGAGAGGGGAAAGCAAGCTCTTCGTAGGCTCAAGGCATATGAAGGAATCCCACCTCCATATGACCGTAGGAAACGTGTGGTTGTACCAGGAGCATTGAGGGTAATCTGCCTCAAACCTGGCCGCAAAGTGAGTAAAATAATGCATAGCAACTACCAGCACTTGATCAATGTAGCAGTTAAGCTAGCATTCAGAGTAAATTAAATGTCTTCATCTGTTCTTGTCTTCAGTGTTCCAACATAAAATAATGGAAATTTCATGTTGTTAATTTTGGGAATGGGAAAACATGGAGAGGAAGATCATACTTACCTCAATGTATAAAAGGTTAGAGTGGTCTTCTCCATTTATCAGGGTTGTGATTTGTGATGATGAATACAATAAAATGTACTAAATTGCGACGTGAAATTGTAATAGATGACAGTAAATAGTAATAGATTGCAAAATGAGGAAATAGAAAAAAATATATATTTATGCACATGTGCTTAGAACAAACATCTCATCTCTCAAGGTTAGTAGATCAGTAGCAAAGTGGTTAATGATCATGCATTAGGTTAAATTTCCATGAATCCACTAAAACCACCGACATAAATCACTAACTAGATCGCTAATGCCATAAGATCAAAGCTCATTCATTCATGAGATCCAACTTGGTTCCATATGAAGCGTGCGCATTATGGACCTGTCATTATATCTTACTCACTCTTACTTATGTTTGCGAATACCATATCAAACGCCAAGAGACATGACGCGCATGACTTGATATGTCATGAACGACAGTTCGGAAATTCCAGTGCATTGAGCAGAAACGTTTTCTAGGCGAGGAATTTAAACAAGATTTTCGGTTTGCTGGGATATGACTTATAGCATTATAGTAATTAGGTCAGTTGTGCTTGTGATGTCAGAAGCCCAAAAACCTCTTATCCGCTCCGTCGGCCGTCATCTCGAGCGCTACTTCATTGGCGGTAGTGAAGGTCATGATTTGATGTTGCAATGACATGAAAAATACCGGAAAACATTCCTAACTCCTGGCTGGCTCAGATTGTGAGTTAGACATGTTTTCATGTAGTTTTTATGTCATCTCAACATCAGACGACCTTGGCTACTGCGAATTCAATGTGTTCTTATATGATGTTCTTGTTTTTAGCGAGTTGAATCGAATTGTAATAGATTCGCTATGAATTTCAAATAGTAAAGACATAATGATGAGTTCTAGAATGTAATAGATCTATTACTATTGTAATAGCAATGGAAACCCTGCCATTTATGCTCATTTCCAGTGCTTCCAACATAACATTTTCATGTTTTTATGTTGGTACACTGAAGACAAGGACATCTGGGGAAGACATTTTTTTTTCTCAATGCTAGCTGTACATTTTTAACATTTTTAAATTGATTTGGCTATTGGGTTTCAATTTATTAAGGTCTTGGTGTTGATATTGATTTATTTATTTATAAATTTGATGCCACCCAATGGGCAGGTGTTTCACTGCCCAATAATAGAGTGGAAAATTCTTATTATTAATGATAGTGATTTTCTTGAAAATTGTTTTAAAAACTTGAAAAACTACATTTCTTAGCATCTATGATTAAATATATTTACCTACATTATTTGATGAATAATGAAATTTGAACATTCAATGAGCTTTTCAAAATGAAAAGCTAGTATTAGTTTTCAATGGAGCATTTCTGAATGCACATTTTTTTTCAGTACTGTCATGTTGGAAGGCTGTCACATGAGGTTGGCTGGAAATACCAATCTGTTGTGCGTACTTTGGAGTCCAAACGTAAAGTCAAGGCTGTTCTGTCTATCCGCAAGCGTGACAAGCTTAAGAAGATTACTAAGGCTGCCTCAGAGAAGGTTGCCAAGAAGACTCAGCCTTTCACAGCTGTTATTAATTCTTATGGTTATAACTAGGACTAATAAAATGTATTTGATCTAATTTCATGGTAGTTTTTATTATTTATTTATGTTTCCTGATCTTGAAGTCCTGAAGACAAGTGTGACAAGAAAAAAATGAACACCTTTCTGATTGAAGGGCTAATTTGATGGTTTTGGTTTCACACTTTATTTGATAAGGAAACTTTTGCTGTCTCATTCCTAAATTATTTTTCATTATCAAGCATATACCATAAAGTCAAAATACGTGAATTATTTTTTAACCCCCACACTGTTTTACCACTAACCGAACTGATTTTTCACACCTGGACACGTGTATTGCTAACTATGTTTGGTTGGCATCTTCAGGAGAAGATTAAAACTTAATCTTCTCCTGAAGATGCTAACATAGCGAAACACGTGTCGAGGTGTGAAAAATCGGTTTGATTAAAACAATCTTCTCCTAAAGATGCTAACATAGTGAAACACATGTCGAGGTGTGAAAAATCGGTTTGGTTAGCGGTGACTGGTGAAACTGTGTAGTGACATCTGTGTAAGCGATTCCTTAGACCATGTTATACCAATCAAAATGTACTGTTGCCCAAATCTTATAAACATTTATATTTTGTACTTTGTGTATATTCTCGCAATCGTCTACAGCAATTTTTTTTTGTAATCTTGAAAAAAATCTTTTGAGACCGACCTTATCATACAGGAATCTTAGATCAAAGAGGAATGTGATTCGCAAAGGGCAATCAGGTATATGGAAACTCCGATAGATGACAGCACCGCTACTGTTTGTCAAGGTTGGTAGAACTGAAGTTTATCTGTACTGTAGGAAAAGGATCACACCGTGATCAGAAAACGCGGTGAGGGGAAATAATAATTTGTGATGTAATCGCATCAAATATTTCATGTTGGAGAGCGTGGGTGAAAAACTCAAGTAAAACACTGTAACTACGCAGCTCACTTGATTTCTATCAGACAATACAATGCCTATATAAACATTGTCTGCTAAATATGGAGAAAAAATCTAGTGAGCTCTGTACCCACCTATCTATATACTATACATTAGCCATAGCTCAATAGATTTTTTTCTCCATATTTAGCAAACGATGTTTTCCAAACTAAAATGGAAAAGCCATATTATATTTCATCGGTGGGTGTTCAGTATGCCAAATTGCTCATTGATTTTATCACTTCCCGGTTTTACCGGAAACGACGCCAACTTTTGATTTTTAAATGGGATACCCTGTATCGTTACCGTTACCCTGGATCCGCCACTTCATTGATTTACATATACTTCAGGATAGTGAAGAAATAGGTATTGAAAAACAACAAATATATCATCAATTCAAACTGTAATCATCAATTCTTCATCTCGGTTTTTTCACAGAAGTTAAGTTTGAATAAGATAAGTTGAAATGAGAGAAAAATATAATCACCCTCATTTTCTCACAGAAGAAAGGTTGTAGGTAGGGGAGAGCTGGGGAATAGTGTTGAATATTTGAAAAAAAAAAAACGTTTTTTCCACAGAATAAAATGAAATTGGATGGCTACCGTTACCCCAGATAGTTGGAGTAATAGTGGAAGAATATCACAATAGCCCCAAAAATTCAAATTAGTAATTCAAATGCAATAATCACAAGTGAACATTTTCTTTTCAGTATCAGCACACGATTTATGTGCCCAATTCCCTCAGAGATTGCATTTCAACCAGATATCTGTATTTTGCCCGTATTCGCCACACACTAAACATATATTCTGAGCCTGTCACATATCTCTATCGTTCTGTTATCAGTCCAAAAGATGCTTTTTCTTTCAGCCTACGATAAATTCTTGATGGCAAGGACATCCTTGATGTGTCCTTATTATTTTTCAGCATAATTCAGTAAATAATAATACCTAATTACCTACCAGTTGAAAATTCCACAAAGACCGATCCTCTGTGGTAAAGTCGGAGACCTTTCACTTTTCCATAGATACTTTCATCACGGGAAATGTTCCTCAGAAATCTCTGCTATAATTCCATCACTAGCAATACCAATCACACGAACTCGACATGCCCAGTCAGCACGTCCCTTTCGTCGTTAACCTTGAAAAATGCTGAACAAAACCCTACCAAAACTCGTTTGTCTATAGGACGGCGAAGCTTTGGAATTCTTTGCCAATGGAAGTATTAATTCCCAAGAACTAATAGCCCAAAAAGTTCAAAAAAATTCCAATACTCACCTCCTCTCCCTGTCCTCCCTAGGAACGCGCGATGTTCCACGAACATTAAAGGACTTTCCTTTCGTGCGCTCCAAGAGTTGAAAGAAATTTCCAGTCCATTCCTGAATGCAGTTTCCGAAATAAATTATAATTTAATTCAATTGTTATATTACTCTAATATTATATACTTCGATCTATTATATACCTATTATCTCATTCCAGCTAGACATTATAATACAATTATAGTATGAATAGTCAAAATTATCAGAATTCAAGGTTCATATAAAAGGAAGTTGATGACTATTCAAGTTGTCTTGGCAATCCTCCTATACATACGTAAATACAGATAACAGGAAACAAAGGTGGATCAGGAAACATTGGAACTGAGTGACTGATCAACCCGAACTAGAAAAAAAAATGGCTGGTAAATTTGACTGATGGAATCTTTGGGCGAAGCGCTTCAATTGTTCCGATAAAGAACCCGGAACAGAAGGAGGCATAAGGGCAGACACCCCCTTCAGAATCGTTCTGAAAAATGCTCGAGCAGTGTGAAAAACGGCTGTATATAATTTGTAACGCGTCATTTGAGGGCAGAACGGGGTATCTCGCGAACGCATCTTGAGATTTAAATTTTCTCCGGAGCTCCCCATGAATTATTCATATCGGCAAACACGAAGAGCATCGAGCAATAGAGATATCGATGTTGCGGTGAGCCCTGATGCGATATTAATTAACTTAACTCTAAAACTCTACGCGGGGTTTTATATACACTCAGCGATACCGCTATTAATCATTCAGCCGGTTCTTCCAGGGTTTAATCTTCACCTCAACAGTTGGCGGCCTAATGTGTCGACTTAACACATTCCCGCAGTTGTGCCCTCATTCTGAGCCTCATTTGGTATATAGGTGGGCTGAGGGCATACCAATTGGCAACCAAATTGACCATATTTTATGTCGAAAACTAAAATCGGCGACACTATCGAAATTATTGTATTTCTATCATATCAAGAACTGTTGAATTGGTAGGTATACCTTGAACCAGGGCTATTAGGGGCTTCGCGAGACCAAGACAAAGATCAAGACTGACCAGTCTTGGTCTTGGGCTCGAAAAATAAGTGTGGTCTTGGTCTTGATATTGGTCTTGATGTTTCAAGACCCAGAGGAGACTGAATCACTCATGGCCTTGGTCTTGGACCAAAATGCGTCTAGAAATTTGAATTATTCAATTCAAATATCCAACAGTTAATATGCATATTATAGGTATTTCGTATATCACAGTCTTATTCAAGATTGTCAATTTGTGCGTATGAATATAGTAAGCGAAATAAACTTCACCTTTTACCATGAGAATATAATTTTATTTCTGACAGTGACATTATAAGCTTATATCGTCATAGTTACGATATCTATTATGAGGGTCATAACTCCCTTGGGATGTTATAGATGCTATAATTCCCTCTAACTAAAATTAAATAAGAAATGCATAGCAACAACCACGCAGTAACGTAGCCATAAGGAATCTCCTATTCGCGGTAGTCAAGATCATCATCTGACGTTCTGATGACATTGAAACTATACGGAAAAACATGTCTAACTTCCAATCGGGAAGGTATCTAATGAATGAAATCAGTCAGAAATAAAATTATCTATGTACCACGGGAATTACTGAGCCTCAATAACCTCAGGCAATTGCTGTCCCTCGGGCCAGAGGCCCTCGGGACGCAAACTTTGCCATCGGTAATTAAGGCCCTCATAATTCATAAAACAGCAAATAGGCCGACGCTCGACAGACCAGAAAACGGTTCAAAAGGGTAGGAACAAACCAAATAACTTTTGTGTATTAAATTTGTTCCTATCTTCAATAGGAGGAGGTATGGACCACTGTGACCTTACAACATACACCTATTTGTTGTAAACTGCAATACTGAATTTGAAAAATGTATTTCGGATCTTGAGTGAACAAAAATTAAAAACCACCATAATAACTGAAATAAAATGCCATTACATTTTCGATCAGAATTCTCTAAATATGGAGTAGATAGATTTAAACTCATTATTTTTCTTTCGAGACCAAAACCAAGACTCTCGGTCTCGAAATTCAAGTCTTGGTCTTGGGAAGATTTATTGAGTCGTGGTCTCGCGAAGCCCTAGGGGATGTAAAAACATCACAATCGATAAGATTTCCACACAATTCTGAAACACAGGACATGTTTCGCTAACACAGTAGCTTCGTCAGCTGATCGTCATCTATCAGACAGAGCTGTCATTGCTTGAAATTTGACATTCCATGGGCGATGAGATTTTTTACGGAAATGAAATTGATGACATACAAAGTACCTCATTGATGTATCGAACACAGTAAAACAAGAGCAATTTTGTGCTATAGCCGTAGAAAAACACATTTTTTGATAATTTCGATTTTTAGGCAAGTCGCAAAATGTACTTTGAGCTCATAGAGGTCTTGATGAGCCTAACAACAAATATTAATCCCATTAAAGCATAGAGCTATCATGCACAGGGTTCTCAGACCAGAGGAGACTATTTGGCTATCTCAAAGTTAATATATTATCATTTTTAATATCAGAAAATGCCTGATATTCAATAATTTGCCAGATAAACGAAACACTACCGCAGTGACTACCTGACAACTGACAAATTTCACCAGCTAATCAACTGCTGCTGATTACTGAAGAAAACGTGTTCCGAATCACAGCACTGTATTTTCGATTTTATATTTTGGAACGCAGATTTTGAGCAGAGTCAGTGGATCTACTGACAGTGTCAGAGATTTGAGCAAGAATAGGTCGCGTGCACGAAGACCGACCCTGGAGGCAAAATATTGAAACACAAC